CAATACTATATTACATTAATTTTAAACTGTTCTTTCCTGGAAGACAGACCTCTGTTATGATGACATGAGGTGATGAATTGATGACTGACATTTTTATTTAACTTCTTCAATCACAACAGTATATTTGAACATAAACAATAGTTTATTTTTAGCTTACAAACATCTGAGCATAAAGTGCTGACAAGGAACCCTGGTGTAAACATTAAAATGAAAGTCAGTACAATGTGCAGATTGCAGAAATATACATAAAAAAAATCAGTGGCTTTACCACACTCAGTTTTTCGACATCTGTGAACTACTAGACAGTCATTCAATTAAAAAATAATATTAAATAAATAAAACTAATAAATAAAAAATACACACATCTTACTGATCTCTGCAGTCAGTAACATTACACATAAAGTGCAAACATAATAGCAATTGTATAAACACACACACAAACACGCCTTTAAAATTTAAAGGCGTGAAATTGGACGGTCCTAATCAGAAGGCTAGTTCTGATTAGCGTCACCGCTGTCTCGGTGGAGTTTAATAAACTCGGCCGTCTGCTTCTTGCTATCTAAAATATAACCAGACACTGGTGTAAATTCTCGACTGTCTCATACTTCTGTTTAATACGTTTTCTGTTTGACGTTTAGTCAGCTGTGTGAAAACCAAGGAGGAACCCACCCGGGGGATTAATAAAGTTTTATTTTATCTAATCTAATAACTTTAATCTCAGCCAAACCGATTTACTCACGAACAAACAAAACACTGAAAAAAGCCCAACAATAACATTTTTAGGTTGTCTAAGTGACTTATATATTACGTTTAACCCGAGCAGCGAAACTCCGCGGTGATCTGAAAAACTCCCGGCTAGCTGTCGAGCTGGTGGGTAGCAGACGCCTCTGAAAACGTCGAAGCACTTTTGCAAATATGGGATATCTTGATAAACCGAGCAGATATTTGATGTTTACACAGCTACTTTCTCGCCTGAAAATATGTTAAAAGTTTATTTTGTGACCCAGAAAGATTAGTATGAGTAATTTTAAAACTTAGTAGCGGCCGCCATTGCTGGAAACTGGAGTTTGGCTGGGCCGCGCTATGAATTCTGGGATATGGTAGTAATTTGGACAGCCTTCGGCGCGTCGCTGTGACGTAATCGGTCTACAAATGCGGCCTCAGGAGGATGCAGCCCATGAATTTGGACATGTCCAGAGTATAATCGCAGCCTTTGCGGTTAGAAAATTGCACTTGATCATGTCGCGATATTATCGCAAATGCGATATATCGTTCAGCCCTAGTATTTACATATATCTGCTATTAAATAGTACAGCTATTTTCTCTGCAGCACAATTACTCATTGCATGGTGTGGTCTCAGACACAAAGAGTGAAACGTTACAATTGACCCCATAGCCTGGGTTAGTTGTAACATATCCGTGGGTGAAAAAACCATCTCTGACAAAGTGGTCTGCATAACGTGGGAACACAAACATTGGAGGAACTGTGTTGCCAATGGCATTAACCGCATATACAAAGGTGACCAGTGAACCTTTCTCTGCTGGTGTCATTGTCCCAACTTGTTTAATATAAGTTAAAGTAATAGTGTGGTAAGTTGTAACATCTGCATTATTGTTACAACTGACCCAGACTCCTATAGCCATGAACTAGCTAACATTACAGCCAACGGCTAAAACATTAGCACTAAAGACCTACACAGAATATATCCCCATAGACATACAAATAACATAATTTAAGTTTGATGAGTTTAACTGCAAAGCAGATAATGCTATTAGAAATTGACATAAAGTTGAAATAAAAAAACATACTTTTTTGCATACAAATTAATTTTTTTCTTCTTAAACTGTCTGTGTTTGCCAAAATGTGCTAATTTTTCACATGTGATAGAAGAAATGAATTGGGCATGTACAGGATGAATCACATCATTTGACACTTAGCTCTGATTGGAGAAATTGGAAGTGCTACAACTGACCCACGTTACAACTATCCCTGGGTTCTCCTGTAAGCTAATATGCAACGTGACTAACATAACATTAGTCATCTCCTATATGTGCTCATAATGACATCACCAGTTCAGATAAGGTTTGAAAGTGTTGCCTGAAACTGTTTGGCTCTTCCTCTGTTTCTGCATGCTCTGAAACCCAATTCATGTCAAACAGTATCATCTTATAACATTGGTACAGTACATTCTCATGATCTGTCTCTACTGATCTAACACACACCAAGGAAAATTGATTCCATCTTTGATCAATTACATTCTGCCATTTGAGGCTTCTCCTCCTCCTGCTGCTGCCTGCACAATATCAAAGGTGAAAAGCCAACAAGCTCTCTTCAAAATGACTGTACAGAAAATTAGAGAGAGTGTCTGTCATTCCTTTAACTCATTCACTGCCATTGACGTCTATAGCCGTCAATTGCAGTGAATGAGTCAATGGGTTTAACTCATTCACTGCCAATGGCTGGCAGTGAATGAGTTAATAACAATAAGCAGAGGTGGAATCACATCACCAAAAGCCCTTATAGTTTGTTTTGTTTATACTCATAAAGGAATAGTGAAAAAAATGACCACCGATATTTTTTGGTAATCACTTTCACTTTACCCTGGTGAGAAATATTATAAAGTCATAGAATGATGGCGATTTCATAGTAACTTTGAAATCCAGTGCTCAGGAAATTCAACTGCATTTATTAACATGGGCCTGCTGTGGTGAAACTACAGAGTCCTGTAGATGAATTCCAAAAAGGTGCATCTTAGATAACATGCTTTTTATGCAACACTGGAATATAGCAGCCTACCAGTCGTAACAGTGAAAAGCTGTATTAGGAAAAATTGCCTCATTCAGCAATCGACTCATACTTTCCCTTCCCGCTGAAGAGGTGATTCACTTTAAGTCTTGCCTTTATTAAAGCTTCAGCATCTCCCAAGTAATTTTGTTAAGTAGCACAATGCTCATTTAGTTGTCAGTTAAACAAATTATTGAAAGAAGTATAAATGCATATTAGGCAGTTGCAGTATGAAAAAGAAAAAAAAACTGCAGTAATTTGCATGATAATCTGTGTAGCTTGAGTGTAATGTTAAAAGTTTGTTTTCATGAGCTGTTAATGCATATTTGAATTGTGGGAGAGCAATATTTTCTCACCTTTCATAAAGGATGGTTCAATGTATCCAGTGCTAAAGGGGACCATACATGAAGCAATGCAGCACATTTACTTAATTAGAGAATTCATCCAGCTCTTATTATCGTTCTCACACAGATGCTTCCAGCTTCACGTCACTCAATTAGGAACCTTCTTAAGTAAACTGACTGTTAAACTGCAGCCTTTGACTGGAGCCCATCTGAGCTTTCACTGGACACACACTGATACTGGTCATCCATCGCAAAGCTAACACGGATAGACAGGCAATTATTCACACTCACATTCACACTTTTGTCAATTTAGAATCACTGATTAACCTAACACACATCGGAGAAAGCTGGAGTACTTGGAGTGAATCTATGCAGTTTTTGTTGTTTTGAAAAAAAAATATATTCCTTTTATTTGCCTCTAAAAAGTGGGGTTAAGGTTAATTGTAATCATCAATCACAGAGAGAGGCCTTTAACTGGACATCCAATATTTGTTATGAAATTTTAGTAATGTATAACTTTAAGACCGAACTGAAAGGCCTGAAGTAACAAAAAATAATAATAATGCACAAATTTTATTAATGACAAATTAGCTGCATAGACAGATCATTGATGGTTGGGTCTGTGTATTAATGATGTGCAGACATAAATCAGTTCACAGAGTCATATTGTAGTTTCGTGTCATTCTTTTTTGGACTGAAACAAGTCACACTACTGTAAATCAATTAACTTCAGAGTGCAGACTTAAAATTAAGTTACACTCAGGTTAGCATGAGACCAATATCAATAGTTTCTCAATTATATAATGGTATAACAAGTAATCTTTTAAAAACAGGTGAAGAATATAACAATATCCAGTTAAATTAACACCTTTACAGAATCATCTGTGCTGCAAACACTGGTGGCAGCATACTGAGCGAGCATGATTTCCAGTAAATTAATTCAGAGCCAGTTTCCATAGTAACACTCTTCACAGGCTGCCCTCCGCCCCCCTACCCATCATTCTCTTAGCTACTGTGCAGTGCAGGCAGTGCAGCAATGGAGAATACTGTGCAATGCAACCGTCTCCAGCGTGGCACATTAACCTACTTCCACACCAGAAACAACCCGGATGCGGAATTAGAGAGAAGGAGGATGAAAAATGATGGATGAATGAGGAGAAAAGTGCAAGGAGAAGAAAAAGGTTTGAGTGGACTGAACTGCATGGAAGGCAGAATGAAGGACACACAGAGGGGAGAGAAAGGACGAACTCGGGATGGAAAAGAAGTGATTACTATGAGAGAAGGGCAAAGAGGAGAGCTGGAAATAAAAGGCACAATGAAAAAACTGAGTAAAGGTAACAAGACAGAAACTTAAATGGACAATATCAATGGAAGACTGAATATGTATCATCATTATTCATATTAAAACAAGAAAATAAGATCCTGGTCTCAGTAATATTTACTCGCATCAAAGGAAACAGTTAATGTATGCCAGTGAAAATGAGAATGAAATGAAAAATCAATTTAAAAAAAATGTTGATTGCTGCTGAAAATCACAACTGAACCCAATGACTTCTCTGCTACACTCTTTGGCACATGTTCCTTCTTGCCCATCGCATCCCTCTTCACTCAGTGGTCCTGATGAGAGGATGGAAATTCCCTGCCTCCATTTCATTTGCCCTGCTTCCTAATCACAAGTCAAAGATTTATAGATAAAGATCTTTCACCACAACGAGGGTATATTCCAAGAGGCGGGCTCTCCTTAGAATTTCCCATGAGAGGATACCGTTTAAAACATCCGCTCCTCTTATTCTAATTAATCCACCTGAGAGTGAAACATGAACAGACAGACAAAGGGGGGAAACTGAGAAGATATACGATGACTTACCGACATGAGTGATGACACACTCGACCCTCTGTAGCAGCTCCTGAACCGACATCTCGTCCTCTCTCAGCCAGCACAGCATCTCAGGGTGTGGGTTGCATCCACTCTTCTCTTGATCTCTCTTCGTCTCACTCTCTCTCTCTGCTGCCACGCCTCCTCTCGTCACCCTTCCACCCCAGACAGTCTCCCCTGCTTTTGCTCCCTAATCCAATTTTCTCCCCTGAGATTTGTGTCTCCCTTTCTTCTATATGTTGATTCTTATTTATACTCTTATTCCAAGTCCTTCCTCACATTTATCACCATCACAGACAGCCACAAAGCCTGGGGATAATGATAATGTTGATGCCACTCCCAGCCACTTAGCTAAATAGTAAGTCTACGTATAAAATAACCACGCTGCTAGTAAGGCACACATAAAGTAACAAAAAAAAACATTTGGGGTTGATAGAATAGAAAATAAAATAGCTTAGTCAATTGAACGGTGAGCAAGATAATCTGCCAGTCAGTGTTCAGTAAAAAACAATGGCAAGGTAACTGTTAAGCAATTAAACAATAAAAGCCAGAACAAGTCAAGCGGAAAGACAACAAAAGAGGCAATTTGTTTGTCACCCTATCAGTCAGAAAACTGTGCCAATAGTAAAAAATAAAACTGCATTTTCAGAAAATTTGTAAGTAAAAACATCCAATTATTGATCAGCCATCCAGACACGAATAGAGCCAACCGTTCCTTGTCATGATGCTCCAAGCCCCAACTGAAAACCAGAAAAATCCTCATAGAACAAAAGTAAATATTTACAGCAGCTCTAACCTAGGAAAAGACAGAATGCTCCTCAGCCAGGGGAGATAGTTGAGTCAACTCCATTGAAAGGGAAACTCCTCAAGCTTGATGGGCAGGAAATCAGTGGTGCTGCTGCTTTGATGATGCTCTATTTGCTCTCATAAAGAAGCTGAGTCACACAGAGGGAAAACGAATCAGAAGGCTGCTTCACCTGCCTGCAGGGCGGAGGGAGAGACACAGAGCTGGCTGAGGGTGGGGTGGGGGTTAATAGGTCCAAGAGAGAAATCCTGGTGCCTGGAGCTGGACTGTAAGAGGAGTGGAGCCCCAGGAACACACAATGATTATCAAATTAAACATTATAAAAAATATATATATATATTCTGTTTTTGTTAAATATGTGGGAAAATAACATAAAACATTTTTAAAACCCTACATATTTAGCCATCAAAAAGACCGTGTTAAATTAAATAACTCACACGACTCATCACGCAAGAGCACGAACAAAACAAATCATTTACGCTTTCACTTCACAGAGTCATTCGGTGCTACTAAAGCCACTCTGCTAATCCAGCTCCACATTTTGCCAGAACCAAACAATGTAAGGGGCTCTAGCATCTCTCCATGGCCCTGTATGCTCCTGGGACTGTCTATTAGCCAGAGACATCTGTGCTCTTGCTACTCATTCATCTTTTCTCTGCAGGCAATCACAGGCTGTACAACAGAAACAGCCAAGATCAATGGCCCATCTACTGGCAGACAAAACAAAGCACATAATCCTGTATTTCTTAGGAACATGACTACACAGTGTTTGTTTTTGTCAGATGAAATCATTAAATCTAAACTATCGGATTATTTATTTGTTTATTTGTCTAAAATTTAACAGTTTAGAATATAAGCGGAAATATTGCGTATTAACAAACCAAACGAAAATAACGGGAAATTATGAAGGATACAGAATGAAAAGGAGACAAAAAAAAGCCCCTCTCCCCCAAAAGGAGAAAGGGATGGGAGGAGACGTGACTAAGGAAACGAGCGGCGTCCGCACCATATGATTGGAAGTTACACAATGACGTCGACGGAAGTGTTTTCGGCCGCTAGCGCGGGAAGACTTACTGACGTTGTTGAAGACACAGAGCTAAACAGACAGGGGTCGAGCCAGCTGCCAGAATTATTATTACTACTACTGGAGTTTTAGATATTCATTCACTCCGCCCTAGGTAAGACTTCTAAAGCGGTCCATGTTTATGAAAAAAGACACAAGGCGGCCCTTTGGAGCTAACAACGGGGCTAATGTTATTAGCTCATAGTAAGCACAGTGGCTAACTCACCTAGCCTCGTTAGCTTCCATGATAAGTTGTGCTATAATGCTAAAAGCAGTGCCAAATGCCATTTAATGTTCAGGAAGACGGCGTGGAAATCTTTCTTTAAGTGTTTACTAACCGCAGCTAACATGGGCTACACACCAGTGATGTCTGGGTCAAGCTGTCTCTGCTGTTCAAAGTAAACCACTAACTTCACTTTCTCATTAGCGAGCTGCATAACGAATACAGTTCGGTCTGTTGTGATGTTAAATTTCTTAAGTGCCGCTCTTGCATCCCAACGTTATGATGTCAAATTTTAACGTTTACTGTCCAACGAATGAAATAAGGCTTGACGTTAACGATTAATGATCGTTATGTCTTTTTCTCCAGTCGTTCAACCATTCTTTAAACGATCTGTTAACTCATGCTTGTGCATACCGGGTCTAAAAAGACTTGTAGCAAATCTTTCAGTACAACAGAGCGATCTTTCTGAGGCGTGCCTCTTCTTCTTTTGGCTGCACTGTTTAGGGGTCGCCACAGTGTGCCTCCATCTCGCCCTACTCCTAGCATCCTTCTCTGTCACTTCAACTCTGCATGTCCTCCCACACTACGTCAATGAACCTTCTCTGTGTTCTTCCTTGTTTCCTCCTTTCTGCTAGCTCCATATTCAGCATCCTTTGTCCCAGATATCCACTGTCTCTGCACTTGTCCAAACTGACAGAAGTGGACTGAAACTGACTTTACTCCTACACAGCACCCATGCTATCTTGCATAGATACAGCGCTTTAGGTTGAAGTTGTAAAATGTTGCTTTTTTTGTTTCTTTCTTTTGGTTTTGTTTGTTTGATTAACTTGGCTCTCTCTCTAACTTTGTCTCCAACACTACTCCGTAATCAATGGTTGGGAGATGGTGACACTAACAAAAAGACAGCAGGCTGAGCTGGAGGTGGAGCTAAAGATGCTTTCATTTTCTTGAAAGTTAACTGAATGAACAGGATTAGAAATAAGGGGTGCATATATGATGTAGATCATAATTGGCTTGATAATTTGGATTTCAATTATTCTGGCATGTTATGGTTTACTTGTTAGGTGACATGTCTTTGAATATTGCAGCTTTCACGAGAATAGCTTGATTAAACAAGGCAGCTACATGTGGATATCATGGTACAGGATGGAATTCAGCACAGTGCTGGACATTTGTTTTATCTTTGTTTCCAAAATATTGTTACAACCTACCCTACCTCTGTATAATTATGATATAATAATTATAGTGTGTGCATTTTGTATGTTCATTTTAACAGAATAAAGAAGAGTCATGCAAGCATTTTTGAAAGGAGCAACAGTTCAGGCAGCCAGGCCTCAGAAAGATAAGGCAGTTGCTGGACCCAGTGCAGAGAAGAAGGCCAAGGCTGTTCCTTGGGTAGAAAAGTAGTAAGTATGACCCACAAAGGTGTACTGTACACTACATCTGATTAACTATACAGAGTTACAGGAATCTCAAGAATCCTTCAGGACAAAACTTTTAACCGCCTTTTAACCCGGGGACTGTTCAGTATTGCCATAAAAATCCAAGATTTTTTTGTTTTGTTTTTTTAGTCTTGGGGTTGATTTACAGAAATGTTTAATCTGTAAAATGCATAATGAATAATAGCGTCATGTGTCTCATTTTTACATTTTGATCATCTTTTGATGTCACAGTGAAATTCAGGATTGTTTCTTGACTCAAAATGATTATTAAATCCCCCAAACATGGAACACATATTTTGCATGTAAGTGCGTTGGAGGGTGACCACAGAGCTACAAATAAAACAGTTGGACTTACGTTTTTTTTTTTTCCTTCCCCATCTTTACAAGAATTTCTGGTCCTTTTAACTGACTGCCATTATTTCACAAATGTATTATTTATTATGTATATATTTATTTAATATTCCTATGCAGTGCACTATCATCCTAATGTATTTTATTCTATCAGTTATTGTGTAATAGATAGTTACACTACAGTATTTTTAACCTGGTTCAGTCGTTGTGATTTTTTTTTTTTTGTGTTCTTCTCTTTTTGTAATTTTGTTCAGCAGTGCTTCTGTGATATGTTGACTAATGACAATAAAATAATCTAAAGTCATATTTTTGTGAAACTTTTGTTTAACACACAATTATCACCTAAATTATGATATAAGGTCATGTTTGTCATTTTAGAGGCAAGACAATGTGAAATGTAATGGATAGTGAGTCATATTATTGACTTTCAGATGTTTAAATTGAACAAATATTTCACGGTGATGCGGTTAAAAGTGCTTCTGTTTCGTTGTTGCACAGTTCTTTGGAGTCTATATATAATCTGTAGCCTGTGCTGATATTGAAGCTTGTGAGGTACTCAAACCAGTTTGTTTTTTTTTCTCTTTCTTCAATGAACTCCAGCAGGCCAAAGTGTGTTGATGAGGTGGCCTTTCAGGAGGAGGTTGTAGCAGTGTTGAAGAAGTCTCTGGAAGGAGCAGATGTAAGTAACATTTAGTTTTTGGTTTTTTTTTGGGGGGGGGTTATAGCCTTGGCTGCATTACTGCATTTGGTTTGTTGATGACAATGAAAATGCCATACACTCTGCTTTTTGGTCCCTTTAATCTTGTGATTCAGAACAGAGCCTTTCAAGATCATAATGTGGAGGGTTGTTTTGGGTGGAAGTGGACAGTAAACATTTCTCTTATCTGATAGAAAACTTTAGTCAGCAGACTTCCCATCACCTGATAGGAGATGAGTGTGTTTTTGTTCTCGTGCATGTACCACGTATACTGTAAGAATGTTTTCGAACTTGTGTCAGATTGCTTTGTCACAATGTAGCAGTGTGTTGTCAGATATACAGTATAAACATGGTTATTTCCAATATTTTTGTATTCAGGTTGTACTTGTGCTCATTTTGCACATTCTGCAAGGCCATAAAGGCACAGTATCATTGGATCTGTGTTTAAATTGCAGCTTCCCAACTTGCTCTTCTATGGCCCTCCTGGAACAGGAAAGACCTCTACCATCTTAGCTGCTGCCAGAGAACTTTATGGGTGGGTAAACTGTATGTGTGGTATTTGATAAGAGATTTCACATCAGTCATTTCTTCATCATAGTTTTTAAACCTTTGTTGATCTCTCTCCTTTTTTCTTTGCACTGTTCCTGCTCATATTTGACTCGTGTCTCTGTTTTCAGTCCAGAACTGTACAGGCAGAGGGTGCTGGAGCTCAATGCCTCAGATGAAAGAGGCATCCAGGTCGTCAGAGATAAAGTCAAAAACTTTGCTCAGCTCACTGTTGCCGGGACACGCCCAGAGTGAGTGAGCATTTTACAGTTTGTGATAATAAGAAAACAGCTAGACTTATTTTTTGTTTTTTGTTTTGGGGTTTTTTTGTACGAGGTTACTCACATTTATAAATTGGTAAATGTGAATTAAAAGGCAAACTGGGATTGTTTTCAGCTCTGCATACATCAGACGTCATCCTCTAATTGTAGAGCCAATCACAAACTGAAGGAATAAGTTCCTGTATGTACAGTTTTCCTTTAAAACATGCAAATATTTTTGGCTATAAAGGTAAAGTGACTGTGTGTCATAAAGCACATTTCAGTGGTGCCAGCAGTGCTCTGATGATAACTCAGTTTACAGATAGAACAGCTTTTGGAATAATTATTGAAATAAAGTACCAAAGTCTCTGTCAGTAAAGTCCAAACTAATGCTGAAACTTTCACTATTTTGCTACATTTGCAGCGGGAAGTCGTGTCCTCCTTTTAAGATCATCATACTGGATGAGGCCGATTCCATGACAGCGCCAGCTCAAGCTGCTCTCAGACGGACCATGGAGAAGGAGTCTCGCACAACTCGGTTTTGTCTCATCTGTAACTATATAAGCAGGTCTGCTGTGGGTTGTTGCTCAAAATCAATTAAACACACAGATTACACAGTTAACACACAGTTATTGTAATCCTGCTTGTATGTCTGTGTGTTTTCTAGGATTATTGAGCCTCTGACTTCTCGGTGCTCCAAGTTTCGCTTCAAACCTCTAGCCAATCAGATCCAGGAAGAACGCCTACTAGAGATATGCGAAAAGGAGAACCTCAAGTACACCAAAGAGGTAGGAAGAAAGAAAATGATTGTGCTGCTATCCGGTCTTCAAGTGATGACGTGATGAATCCTGCTTCTGGGCCCAAACGACTCAGCATTTAACCCTCAGGGCTCTATACTGGCCACTTGTGGCCACTAACAAGCTGAAAGGGTGGTGATTTTTAACAGACCCTGAGGGTTAATAAGGCTTTTGTGTTTTTAACATGTTCTAATGCTTTGTATCTTGTTCTATTTAATCTCAAGAAGCCCCTAAAAACAGTCAGTGATCACAGTGGTCCGCCTCTCTGTTTTTATTACCACTATTCATTTTAAAGCTTCAGGTTTTGAAACCTTACGATGTAACTACAGCCGAGCCCATGCAGCAGTATATTAATGACTAACCTGGTATTTTGGATGGATTATATCAGTTGTTCTCCTGACTGAAGTTTGGTCCTTTTACAGCATCCTGCCATGCGGTTGCATTTGTCCCTAACCTTCAGGAACCCTCACGTTAATTTTTATTGAGTGGGAAAAAGTTAGCGTTCGTCCTCCAGCCTATCTGTGTTTATGCTAACATAGCTGTGTCGCTAGCGATCATGTAGCACATCATTATATACCAGCTAGCCAAACTTCAGTAAACCCTACAAACGTCACTGCTGTTTAGTTTTCTGTCTTCATTTATGTTGGAAGTGATAACAGAGCTGTACATCTTAATTTTTTTTCAGAAATCCCTCAGGCTGAACATGGTATATTATATTTACTATAGATGGAAACTAGAGAGCTAACTTCCTGCTAACTTCTAACACCGTTAAATTTCATAAATTCTGTTTTCACGGATGCCTGGATGTTAAACTTAATTGTTACACCTTGTAAAGCAGCAACACTGATCATTTTATTAAAGATGAAAAAATTTAGACAGTTTTTCAATCCTCAGTGATGCCGCAGCGATCGTTTGACTGTGACCTTAAGCGGAGTTTGGGCCCAGACATGGCTGATGACGTCAGATTTAAAGACCAGATAGTGTAATGTAGACCTGTGAGAAATTTCTAAGATGTCTTACGCACTTCTAGTGTAGGTTTTTTAATTGCTCCATACATGGGGAAAAATGCCTCGTAATAATTATTTGAAAGTGCTCTTTGATTTTAACTGAGAGGCTGACTTAAAAGGAGAGTGTAAAAGAAATTACCAGACATAATAATCCTACCAGTGGGTGCTGTTAAATGTTTTTTTCTTTACAAAAGCAGCACACAAAAAGAAAAAGATTCATGTAACAAATAAAAGAAAGTCTGCTCTTTCCTTTTATTACTAATGAAGCTGTAATCTTCAGCAGTGACAGTATCTGCAGGTTTAAAGATGATCAGTTTACACTTTTTAGGTCTTTTTGGAGACTACTATGAGGATATGTGACATTTTAGTCCTTCTACAAAATGTCAAAAATAATTAAATAGTTGACCAGTACAAGTATAGTTTCAACACATTTATTTTACTCATCCACAAATACATATTGAATGTTTTTTTGTTTTCGTTTTTTTTTACACAGAAGTACAAATCAGGGTTTAGTAAGGAGCTCAACTCAGAACGATGAGCTGTATCTTTTAACTTTGTTAATGTTAGATTGAGTCTGATCCTGGCACCACCAGTATTTTAAGATAAATCTGCACACATCCTCCCCATAACAGACTCAACAGAAAGTCAAGGTTTTAAATACCCAAGTAATTTGTGTCGTGCTCACTGTATTAAACTCACTTCCAGCCCTGTATTTTTGTTCTTGGACATTACTGAAGTAACTTTGCATGATTCACCATTCAAATCAATCCTTATTTGTCTTGTTTTTGTCCTTGGTGCAGACTCCCAGTTGAGTCCAGCCAGCTTTCTTGTGATTTGATTGCAGAGGCCAAAAAAACAAAAACAAAACAAGACAACTCCCATTTTCCTGTTTGTTTAACTGCTCTGCTGTTAAGCCTGTCCACAAATGTATATGAGCAAACAGCTGTTTATTTTTTAATATTTAATGTTTAAAACAGGGGATTGTTGCAGTTGCCTTTTTTAGGTGTAGCAGACATCAGCCCCTGTACAACTAACTGGGGTTTAAGTTTGCAGTGTTCAGTAGCATGAGCAGAAAAGTGATATGTACATCAGTCAATTTACGATTCAATGCACTGTCACTCAATTTCATTAAGCAATAAGAGGCTCCACCTACTGGTCGAAGCACATACTACAGTCATTCTACATGATCCATTTCTATACATTTGATTTAATTGTATTAGAAGATGATTATTAACATCCTTTGCTGGTGCTGCATTTTCAAATAAAAAAAGAACACAAAGTGTGTGAAGAGATGGTGTTTGTAAAGTATAAACATTTTTGCTTACCTGTAAAGTATTTTTGATAAAGGGAATGTTACGCAGGAATGTTCCTGCCTAAAATTTTGATTGTAACATAAATAGATGGATTATCATGACTGCAGACTTCTCTACATTTGTGAAGAGTACGTGTGGCCTGCTCCCGTCATAAGTACAATAGCACAAGGCAGAGGAGTTCTCAGTGACAGGCAGGAAGTGTTGAATATTCTTAACTGTACGATATGTTAAAAAAATGGCTAATGTAATTCAGATGCCTGAGTGCACAGCCAGTTTCCATTTTACTGTGTTTGGTCTGGTAATACTGGCGGTGTTCCTCCACCACTGTCACTGTCCCTGGTCCTGTGCCCACCTTTCCCAGGTGGTAATCCATCCATGGTCAGAAATGTAGTCACTGTTGAAAAGAGAGTCTGATTTGAGTGACATCTATGTGCTGCATAACATTTAATGTATAATCAGTTTAAATGTGAGTGGAGATATAGCAGAACTGCAACTGCTTTCTTTGCACAGCTGGTGGAGTCTGATAACTGTCTTTCCTAATCCAGAGTATAGCAGCATTGGTGCGAGTGTCTGAAGGCGACCTGCGGAAAGCCATCACATTTTTGCAAAGTGCTGCACGCCTCAATGTCGACAAGGAAATCACTGATTGTGCTGTTATTGAAATAGCAGGGGTGAGCTGGACTTCATTTGTATCACAGTAGACTGTAAGAAATGATTATTAACTGTAGTTAGAATGTCTTTCTCATCTGAGATCTTGCTTCTGCTCTCTGTTAGGTTGTACCTGACAAGATGATTGACAACCTGCTCCAGATCTGCTTCAGAGGAACATTTGAGAAACTGGAGGTAGCAGTCAGGGTAAGTGTTCTAATAGCCTGAAATAGATAGTTAAGCACAAAATAAAAGGTATGGCAATCAATCTTTAATCATCTTCTCTGTCAGAACATGGTGGATGAAGGCTACGCAGCCACACAGATCTTGACACAGCTTCATGAGTGTGTCATAGAGCAGGACCTGAGTGACAAGCAGAAGTCGACTATCACAGAGAAGATGGCAGTAAGTCATATAATACGGTGCTTTTTCTTTTTTTTTGCAGCTACAATAGTAAGTCGGAATAAATGTAGAAGTTAATCCTTTTTTTAATGACTCGATCTGTTTGTTTTTCTCTGGTTCAGGTTGTGTGCAAGTGTCTGTCAGATGGTGCAGACGAGTACCTGCAGCTGTTGAGTCTGTGTTCAGTCATCATGCAGGAGGCTTCCCACAACTAAATCCCCTTCCATAAACAGCATGGTCATCTGCTCCCATTGGGACCAAAGGCTTTACAGAGACACTTAACTCAGATTTATCTGCATTTGATTGTTGTTTGGGATGCTTAACCGTGGACACCAGGCGACAGTGATCATTCATAAACAACGTCAGAGCACTTCATTAAAAAAAAGAAAAAAAGGACATGTTACTACTTATCCAACATACTTTTGTACACTTTTTGAATTCTGGAAAATAATAAATAGTTCTTTCTTGTTTTCAGGGGTTCACTGTTTTTATTCTTCAAGGAAAGTGTTGAGTTAACAAGCAAAACTGTGACGTGTGCTCTTGGTGCTTTCTTAACTGAATTGTAAGACATATAATACAGTGCAGTGCAGGTTTGATCCACCTCTCGTTTAAACATGGTTTTGCTTTGGCATGATAATCACCCCAAACGCACTACCAGTGCAGTAAAAACATCATCAGTCATGAAATTGGCCTCCTTAGAGCCCAGACCTCAACATTATTGAAGTTGTGTGTTATCATCTTGACTGAGAATGAAACAAAAGGCATCCATCCAAAGAAAAGCTTTGGATATCTTTGAGGACACCTGGAGAACACTTTGTGAAGTTCAAGTTCAAATTTATTTATATAGCACTTAAAACAACAGGTGTTGACCAAAGTACTGTACAATACAATGGGCAAGGCAATAAACAAAAAAACAGAATAGTGTTTTAGAAGAGAATAAAATCATTAAAAAAAAGTGAATAAAATCATAATAAAGTGAATAAAATCATAAAGTATAATAGTAACAAACTCATGGTGAATCAAAAGACAGAATAAAAATGGGTCTTTACAGGGAGTGCAGAATTATTAGGCAAATGAGTATTTTGTCCACATCATCCTCTTCATGCATGTTGTCTTACTCCAAGCTGTATAGGCTCGAAAGCCTA